CCTGGAAGAGGGGAAACACCTCTGCTGATCTGAGCAGCTTTGCTCTGAGCCTTGCCTTGGAGTTTGAAAAAAACCCCATTCAACCCAAGAGGTTTGCGAGCGAAATGTTTTGTGGGCAACACCTGCACTTTTTTTTTTAAGAAAATGGTGGGGGTTTTTTAAAAAACAACAACAAAACCCCAAAGTATCCACCTCTCAGCAGGACCCCTTCTCTTGCTATTTTTTTTCTTCAGTGATTTTGAGACTTACAGTCCACTCGAAGCTCAGCCTTGGTTGAAGCGACTCCCATGTTGTTTTCAGCGAGGCACCGGTAAACGCCCATGTCGGTGGGGACCACAGCTGTGATGATCAGCTGGTGACACCCTTCCTGGTCCTCGTTGATCATGTAGTGATCGTTTTCTTCAATGGCTTTCCCATCCTTGAACCAGCGAACCGTGGGGAGTGGTTTGCCAATGACAATGCAGTCGAAGCTGACTGGGTATCCGTCTTGGACCTCTTGGTTTTGGAGCTCAGTCATGAACATGGGAGCTAAAACCAGAGCAGTCAGGAGAGAAGAAAGGAAACATTTAGTTGTGTTAAAGATGCATTTTAAGAACACTGCTGCCCGGTGCCTGAAGACTTCTGGTATCTAGGCTTTTTAATTGCAGATTGATATCTTTTCTCTAGGAAAACTGTCAAGAAGGAACCCTCTGAGAAACACTATGAAGATATTCCACACCACCATAAGCATGGCAACACCACAGCTGCAAACCATACATTGCCTAAGTTCCCTCCTTGCCAAAACGTGTCCTCAAGATGATTCTGAAAACATTTTCACTTATTTAAGTATAATAGTCATAGCATCTATGGCCATATTATTGTAGTAGAGGACATTTCTATTGTGAAAAGCAGCTTTGTAAAGAAGTCAATACTTTGCAACCTTCTCCTTCATCACTAGTCTCCCTCTTCTCCCTCAGAATGTTGAACAATAAAAAATCAGTTTTCAAAAAAAATGTAAAGTTTCCAGACAAATATCTGCACAAAATGAAGAACAAAGTCTTTTTGAAAACTATTTATGAGTAAAAAGATAACATTCTGACATGCTCCAGAAAGAATAAGCAGGTTTGTTTCACTTACCTGTATCAGAAGTCAGCAAAGGTGGTGGAGGTCTCACTGCTGGTGATGCAAACTTCCCATGGGTGGGTGGTGTTGCTTTCCCAATCCTCAATTCAATTTTTTTAGGTCCTTGTTCCAGAATGTCAATCTCCACGGGAATCCCCAGAGCACCAAACATCTCTCGGAATCGAGTGGCAGCAGATCTTGCCTCCGACAAGATTTCAAACTTGATGTAGATGTACTGGTCATCCTCGCGATACGTCTGATGGTCGACCATCTCTATGTCCCCTTCATCTGCACTGACAAAAAGCTCTTCCTCCACATCAGATATCTCTGTTGAGATCTTGGCCCTGAAGAGTCTGTGAAGTCTCCTTCCTGCTTTACGGAAAGCATCATCCAGCTCACTGCCAGATGAGCTCTCCGTCTCACTGTCAGTGCTTTGCTTCTTCTGCTTCTCCTTGCGAAGAACTTGAGGTTCTTGAGCACCAATAACCACCTTAGCACTGTGGGAAACCTTGCCAAATTTATTGGATGCCTCACAGGTGTATTTACCTGCATCTTTCCTGTCCAGGCCAGCGATAATCAAAGAGCAGGTCCCATCACTGTAATTGTCTATGTGATAGTAGCGACCATCTGAAAGCTCTTGCCCATCTTTCAGCCAACAGACTTTCATGTCACTTTTGCTGTGGGCCACACACTCCAGGTGGAGAGTGCTCCCAGGCTCCCCAGAGAAATCCTTGAAAGTCTCAGTAAACACTGGACACTCTTGTTGCTTGATCTCTTTCCTGACTTTGTAACCTTTGAATGCAGCCTGGATCTTCACAGCAGCCTTGTTCATAGAAGGGTCATCTAAATCTGGCATTTCTGGTTCAGCTGGTTTAGCATCTGGGGCAGCCACAGCAGTCTCCTCACTGGATTTCTCCCACTGTTTCCATAATTTGCTTGTGGAGATGGACTGAACTTTGCTAGTAACACTGACACTTTTCTTCCCAGCTTTCTTGAGGTAGTTCACCAGTGATGGAGTCCCAGCTCTAGACTCATCATCTGAGCTTGTGAAAGAGAAATCTGCTTCTCCTGTCCTAGCCAGCTCATCACACGTGGAGTACTCCTCTGAGTAATAGTGAGACATCTCTGCTTCCTCCTTCCTCAACTTCTGAAGCTTCTCCTCCTCTTCAGGCAACTCACTGATGGAATCCAAGGTGGGTTCCCGGCTCATCCGGCGTTTCTTGGCCAGGGCTTCCCACAGAAGGTGAAGGTCTCCCTCCTGAGCAGCCTCGGGGGGCAAACTGGGCTGGACATGGCCATCCACCAGCTCTTCTGGTTGTCTTGCAGGGGCTGTTTCCCGGGCAATCTCTTTCAGCATTGCCACTGTGGGAACTGAGGAGAATTAAATTAGTCAGATGTTAAGAAGCCATGAGTGAGCTCTGAGAAAGCATGTGGAAATGTCAGTCTAAAGCCTGGGCAGAAGAGTATCAGTGGCATTTAACTAAGCATTCTCTTGGGAACAAACAGTGATTTATCTTTTTTTTCTCTACAGTGAAATTTGGGGAAACAAAGAAAAAAAAAATAGAGAAATAACTAGATATGGTCCTGGGCAACTTGTTCTAGGTGACCCTACTTTGAGCAGGGAGCAAACTGCACTATCTCTGGAAGTTCTTTCCAGCCTCAACTATTGTGTGATTCTATGCATGTGCACAAAACCTGGCCAAATAATTTATTTATTTTTTTTCCTTCCTCATACATTTAAACCAAATAAATACATTTCTGCCTCTTTTGAGTGTTACAGTCAAGGAATATCTGCTTAAGACTGTCAGTGGATCCTGGAAAGGTATTCCGGGCTCATCCTATTTTACAGCTAGACAAGGCTTCACTGGTTGGCTTGAATAGATCTCCTCTGGTTGTAATGAGAGTTGAGACTCCCACCTCACATGGAGGCATCTGCCTGGAGATACTTTGCTTTAGATGTGTCAAAGTCTGAAGGTTGTGACTCATCCTCTGGGACACACTGACTTGCCCCTGCATGGTGCTCAGTGCCATTTGAGATCCTCCAGGCTGCCTGGGACATCCACACATGGATCTCAGATACAACACAGGACCTATGAATGTTCTGGGTCCCTCTGGAGGAGATGGAGGCCCAGGGGTGATATCCTGAAGTGCCTCAGTGGCACTAGATGCTTCTGTGTGGGTCAGTGAATCCCACCACAGAGACACAACTCAGCTTCCTAAGCACTATGACCTGTAGTCATTTGGGATGTCCAGGACAGAGACCTGGCAAATACCATGCAGAACATAAGAAAGAGCCCTCACTTTCTGAAGAAGTAGCTGAAGGTCAAGGAGGGTACCCTGAGACATCTCAAAAGGCACCAGAAACTCCTGTAGAATCAATTGTATCCCACCTTATGTATTGGACTCAGGAAAACCTTATATGAGCAGCTCAAAGTTGTTAGGGATTCAGAAACATACTGGGCAATACAGAACAGGAAGACAATGATTATTTGTGGATGATTATCACAGTTTGTAAGAGAAAATGGATTCCAGTCCAAGCTGTGGAGATGCCCCTGGGTGTCCATAAACAGAACTGATTTAACAGCCATACCTTCAAGACACAAGCTGGCAGCAGATTTGACTTCTGGAGAAACCATGCAGGTGTATGTGTCCTGATCTTCAGCCTTAAATGCATGGATGATGAGTATCTGCTTTTTTCCTTCAGAGAGGATCTCGAATCTCCCTCCAGCTCTTATTTGTTCTTTTCCTTTGAACCATGTCACTCTCTCTTCAGGTTCACTTGAGAACTTGCACTCTAAGCGAGCGACCTGCCCTTCTGACACTGATCCTCCCACCAAAGGATGGGTGACTGTGACTTGAGGCTCTGTAATTATTAAAAAAACAATAATTAACACAAAGAACATACCATAATCTGGCTTTCAGGCACTGGAGATCACTCTATAAAATATCCAAGCATCCCATCTTTCATATAGAGATGGTTGAGCTGTTGTAGAAAACAAAGTGAAAGAAAAACCCAACAACTCTGCCATCCAAAAGTTTGCACTTCCAAAGATAACATAAGAAAAACTTGACAAGCTCTCCCAGAAGTTAAACCAGCTCAATTTAAATATATACATGCAAAAGTGGTTGCAGTTTTCACATTCCTGTTTTTTTTGCTGATCTTCATTTACCCATCACTGGTATTAAACAGTCTTATGGATTCTAGAAGATCTTAATATTTAGAAATGAAGCAGTTCTGAAGTGAGACAAGAAAAAAAAAACAACAAACACAATAAAAAGAATAGAAAAGAAAAGAGATCATTAAAAGTAGCATTTGTTCCAATCTTGAAAATAAAAACCCCTAAATATGTATATGTGTGTGTGTAGATATATATATTTACACTAGTTTAGGAAGAGTAAAAATTCCTGAAAACCACCAAAAAGATTAAAATAAACATTTTCTGTCTCTTCCTTACTTTGGAAGGAGACCTGCCCATGAGATGCTGTTTGTACCACAGCAACACTCAACATGAAGTCAAGACAAATGCATTAAACGTGGAGAGGTTGACTGGGAAGTAAAGCACACAGCTGAGCTCCCCCAAGCTTCATGGCCCTGAGCATCATCTGCCCATCTGCACATCTCACCAGGGTGAGGGGACCACTGCCCAAAACGTTTGGGAGTTGTTGTAGACAAAGTCAGCAGATGCAGATTTATCAGGGTCCAGGGTTTGATGACAAACATCATTGCTTGTCTCAGTGTAAGAAAATAGGATTTTATATTATTATTCTCACTTGAAGGAATTTGTTGGGCACTTGGCTATTACAGAAAGAGCTGCAAGAAAAGAAGGATTGAGGGAGTCTCTCTTCATTCTGCTGTAGCTTCCAAAGCTTCACCAATAGACAGCAAAGGAACCGTGTCCTCCAGCATTTCTTTTTGGGGGTTATTGAAAAAGATACACCAATAATATAATGAAAGAGAAAGATGGGTGAAGAAGTCAACACTGCCCAGCCACTGTTTTGGTACCAGGGTCTTGGTCACCCTGAATGCATTCCAACATGCTCCTTTTGACTCATTCCATCCTAACTCCATCAAAAAAGAAACTCATGGATGCAGTGCAGGCTTCAAGGCAGCTTGATGCAGTTGGGGGAGAACAAGTTGTGTCTTAACAACCCAGCAGGGTTGTTCTTTTTTTTTTTGGCTGCAGCCCAGAACAACTTTTCCAAGCTCTTTCTCCTCTATTGTGTTGGCAGCAAAGCACTGGAAGACGTTTCAGAGTGAGCTCTTCCAGGTGATCCTGGAATGGGTGAAGCAGGCATGCCATGCAAAACACCAGGTCTACAGCAGCTTGCAGTCCTCCACGGGGGCACCTCTCCATTCTCACCTAGCTGCACCATCTGAGGGAAGTGCACTGACTCGCTGGCCCCAACTTTGTTTATAGCCGAGACACGGAATCTGTAGGGTTCACCCGGGCTGAGGTTGCCCACCAGGAACTCCATGTCCTGAATAATGCCCTCGCTGCATGACTCCCAGCCAACCCCTGGGATTTTCCTCTCCACGTTGTAGCCTAGGATGCCACAACCGCCGTCACTCAGCGGCTTGGACCAAGACAGAGTCACAGAGCGACTGTTCTTACGTGAAACTTGCGGCTCCTCAGGTGGGTCGGGGCAGGCTGGAGGCACAACAGAGGTCCCGTGATGTGTAACATGAACAGCAATGCTTTATGCTAAATCCCTTGTACTAAAACAACCAAGAGCCTTCTGCAATCAGTCAGAAGAAGCAGCACAACACATTCAATTATCTCTTTGTAAAGCTGAGTGGGTGCCCAAGACACATACTTGTGCACCACTGAGTTTTCCCTTATCTGCTAATAACATGAATGATCCATTAATCATCTCACATACTTAATGCCATATATTATTGTGATATTCTTTTTCCTGTTGCTTTGTCCCTCCCAGTTCAAAGTAAAGATGACCCTATGCTCTCCATCTTCTGAAGGAACTTCACTGAAAACTTCAAGTACATTTGGGCCTTCATTTTGTTTATTTCAGGTCCGGCCTTAATGGAAATCAAGTTACTGTTGGACCTCATAGTAACTCTACTAATCTAAGAGTAAGTCAGTCAGTTTCTGTGTAATTGTTATATATGTCACAGCACCAAGCAATAACAAATAAATACATAATGGGAATTGTCTGGTGTCCTGCCAGATTGGCTATGGATGATCATATTCAGTACACTGGAAAATGTTCCTCACTTAATTCACACTTTGACTTAGAAGACAGAAACAATTCTTTTAGTCTTCAAGGCATTTACCAAATGAATGACCTGCCACGATGTACCAAGTCAACAAATTAAAAGCAAATAAGCTCAACAGCTAGTTCTTTTAACTCTCAACACCACAAATACAAAAAAAAAAAAAAAGCTCATTTTCTCTATTTTCAGACAAATTTCACACAGAAAACCTGTCAAAATGAGGAGTTCATAACAGTATTTTGCAGTTCCTTAAATGTGGGTGCCCAAAATTTGCTGTTTTAAATCCATCAACAACCAGATATCCCTCAAGTCTCAGAAATAATTAGACAGACTGTCTGTGACAAATTAAAGAATGGATGGTCAAGAAATGGCTCTTGAACATCTCAGCTACAGTGTCCAACTAAAACACATTGCAATTATCTCCTAACCATCACTGGGGTTGTGCTGGAGTGATCATTGCTGGGTGACCCACTGTGGGAACGTGCCAGACCTGGAATGGACATTGGTCTAACCTGCCCCAGAAGGGAATTAGGGAACTATCAACTTTTCTATTTGTAAAGTACTCCAAGAGCTATTAACTTTTTGTGTGTTTCATGGATCTGGTCCACATGAAGATGTTACCATGCTACTCACTAATCTGGAAAACTAGTTGCACTGCACTTGAGTTGACTAGCAGAATTCAAAGGGTTCTCTGCTGCCCTGGATAATTTTTCCATTTGCACTCGAGTTCAGCTCCCTTCCATGTCAATGTTTGCTGAGGGTGATGTTGAATTCTGAGTAAACTGGTTTCTGTTAGACTCTGTGCTACGTTTTACAACAGATTGCAGCTAAAGAAAGCTGGTGAACATCTCTACCATCTTCTCATGAGTTGAACTGGTTCTGGTCAAAGAACAAGTTACTCAGCAGCATCTTCTCAGGCTAAGAACACTAGCCTGGGATATGCAAAAAGAGACAAGAGTCAGCACAAAGGTTAGAAAATTCAATACTGTTGCTCATGTCAAAGTGTGAGATTTCAAGCACCACTGGGCTAGATCGACAGACACTTACCTATCACAGATAACTTGGCTGATGTAATTGCTTCCCTAGAAGCAAAGGTCACCTCTCCAGAATGATGTGGTTGGGCTTTTTTCAGAATAAGTTTGTATTTGTTTCCATCTGCTTGTACCTCCCAGTCCTCACCCGACTGGATCTCTACGTCATTACTATACCAGGAGACTTCATTACTTGGCACAGCTTCACTTAGAACACAGCTAAATGTGGCTTTCTCCCCCAAAGAGACTTCCACATCTGTGAGAGGCTGCAAGATCTGTAGGCGCCATCCTGTAGATAACAACAGGTAACCAAGCCCTCAGTTACAGACACAAATACAGGCAAGAGATTTTGTGAATATTTGGGCAGAAACTCTGGAAAACGAGGCCTTAGAGCCCAAGAAGATCATTAAAAGGGAGGTTGTGTATATAACTAGAACAGAAGATATCACTGGGGTGTGAAGCTTTCCAAAACTTTCAGGAGCAAAGACCAACTTAGCAATGTCTTTTTTTCCCAAGTAGCAGAAAACCATGATGGAGATACTATGCTGCAGTGAGGATGGCTGCTCTTGTACTCTGAAAAGGGTTCTGATCCCCACAGACATCTCCAGTAATAGCATAAAATACAAGGATGATCCAAGAGATCATATTGTTGCTGAGAGATAATATTATTGCTGATGTAACTCTCATCTCTAAAGCCCTGAAGTACCTATAAACACAACCCAGTTCATCAGAATAATGACAATTGTAAGACAGTAAGTTGCTGGTAGCTCATTGCCAACTGCTGCTTATATCCATGTAATAGATGTCACATATCTATAATAGAACCATGGAATTGTTTTGGTTGGAAAAGACCTTTAAGATCATCAAGTCCAACCATTACCCCAGCACTGTCAAAGCCACCACTAAACCATGTCCCTTGGCACCACATCTACAAGGCTTTGAAATCCCTCCAGGTTGGGGACTCCACCACTGCCCTGAGCAGCTGTTGTCAGGGTTTGACAACCCTTTCCAGGAAGAAATTGTTCCCAATATTCAAACTAAACCTCCCCTGGCACAACTTGAGGCCATTTCCTCTTGTTCTGTCACTTGTTACTTGGGAGAAGAGACCGACTCCTACCTTACTACAACCTCCTTTCAAGGAGTTGTAGAGAGTGAGAAGGTCTCCCCCGAGCAGACAGAACAAGATAAAAAAAAGGAAACGACAACACATCTTCCACTAACTAAGTTGGGGAAAAGGTTTAGTGAAGAAGCAAGTAACAAATGCAGCTTTTCCTGGCTGATGTGCCATTTCCAGGCAGAAATGGGAGCCTCGCCATGCACAAGTGCTTCAGCTACCTTTCACCGTCAGGAGGGCGGAGGTCACCGCGTCGCTGCACATGAAAGTCACCCTGCAGCTGTCCTGGGGAGTTAGGTTCTTCAGCAGCAGGACATGCCTGCGTCCATTTTCAAAGTAAACCATCTCAGTGTTTTCTGTAGTTTTGGCAGGTTCATCGTCAATCAGCCAGTTGTAATTGTAGCACTCAGGTTTGGAAAGGTAGCATTCAAACAAGGCTTCCCCTCCTTCCACAGCTTCCACATTCTCCAAGCCCTGGACAATGCTGTTCTTGGCTAGCAAAGAAGGACAATGAAGGGTATTAATTGTTTGGCCATGCATATGTTAATATTAACAAGCCTCGGAGTACTGGGTGAGTCCCACTGCTGGAAAGCTGAGGGAAAGGAGGTGGTGGATGTGATAACCTTTGCTTGCAGGTTTAGTTGTTGGTTTCAACGACGCTCCAACACAATACTGTATTTAAAAACATTTTAAGTAGTGGGGTAGTTTGAAAATCATGATAAACCTCTAGGACCTCTAGCATTTCATCCAGACTTCCTCCAGAAATCTGACTTCTGCTTTTACATAGAAAAAAAATGTTGTTTATATGAGTCAGGCCAGGAGTCGATAGGAAGGGATAGCTCAGGATAATAACATAGAATCAAATTCCTTCTGCTCCACAGAGGGAAACACTTCCCACAGATCTCCCAGGCAGTGCAATTACCAGCTTAACTGGGGGGGATGTGAATCCACATGATAAATTCTTACTGCTTTTCATGCAAAGCAAATATGAGACAATATCATGGCTGGCAAAGCTATAGCAACTGTCATCTGAGTGAGTAAGTCTGCCTCTAGGAAACACAGAAAAATTACAACTGGTATTAACAGTGTTTTGAATAGTACATTTCTGAATGATTCCAAAAGCTCTGTGCTAATGTATTAGGTTTATTTCCTCGTGTGTTTGTGGTTAATTGTGTGGTCAGAAACATGCACACTCCTACACACTCCTTTTGCCAACTGAGTCATGCATCAGTTGGCATTTGTACATAAGCAATCAGCCTGATCCAAAATTAAATGTGGGCTGGTGCATGAGAATATAATTCATTTTAGACCATCTCTGTGGACAAATTACATGCACAACAGTGGGAGCAACATGGTTGAGTAAACACAGTTTACACAAATACCATGATCTACAATAAAAAACAATGCCCTGACACATTCCTGGTTAGATCTCTATAACCAGGATCTGGAACTGTCCTAAAACCAATTTATTTAATATAAAAATAAAATAAATTGTATTCTATAAAACTCATGGAGGGGTTTGTAAATCCTTGGACATTGTATAATTTTGTTATAAAAATATCCGAGCAGTTTCATTGTGCACTTTTGGAGCACTGGTTTCTCTAACTACAAAAATCAGCCAATTGCAAATCCTGCCTCATCTGGGGTGTTCTTAGGTTATGCTCATTAACATCTTTTAAATCTCTAAAATGGAAAGTGTTCATCAATGTAGAAAGCATTATAATAAAAAAATCCCTAATCTTCTGTACTCACAACTGCAGTTAAGCAAGAAGACATAATTGATTAAAAAAACACAAATATTCAGAAACCAAGAAGCATTTCTCTTGCTGATCACACCAATTTGGGACCAAAAATACCAATTCAGTACACAGCAGAAAAAATCAGAATCGTCAGTATAAAATCCTAAACCTATTGATAATATTTACTGCTTCTCAGGGCAGTAAAAAACACTGATGCCAAGTAAGAAGGTAATTCCTGAGTGATCAGTATTTGAAACAAGTAAAATCCTAAGCTACCTTAGCTTAGGTGAAAATAAAATTAAATTCCACCCTGTCTATTATCCATTGGTTTTAAGGCACACTCTGCATTACAAACACTCTGTCACAGAAAAAAAATGTTCTTATTTATTCCTTTGGACTAATACCAGATCTTTGATTTTACAATAATTCAGCACTGAATCCCACTGTACTGGCGTCCCAGTTCATTGTAGAAGGGATATGATGTGTAAGTGGTGCAATAAATGAGTGCTAATTAGAACAAAGCTCCAATGAAGTGCTACAGTTTCATATTCAGTCCCCATTAGCTCCCAACTACTTTTATAATTGTTATCAGCACTGGAGTGGACACCAAAGAGCAGGTCACTGCTGTGCCACTTATTGTGAGGTGCTGCCATCATTTTTTCCACCTCTTTTATTTGGAACCCATGATAGTCTTCCTCTTTGGCTGGAAGACCTCACCTTGAACATCAAGTGCAGCCATCACTTTAATGCCTTCAGCTTCACAAGAATAGATGCCAGTGTCTTCTGGTACCGTAGGTTTAATTTTTAGCATGCTTACATTCCAGTCCTGATCGATAATCACTCGCTGCCCATCTGCATGTATTTCCTGATCATTTTTCTTCCATATGGCGTGTACTGGCCTAGAATATTGGCATATGAACTCTGCTGTGCCATCTTCATCAACAGTTATATCCTGCATGGGACTGACCACTTCAATGGTTGGATCTGTTAACCGACACGTCAGGAAGGACATGCATTAGTTAGTGGATCCTCATGGAAATCACAAGTTCAAGACATGATTGACAAGCAAAGAGCCTGCAGGCAGCAAGCAGGGTGCCAGTGCAAGCAGGAAGCTGACTGGGCACGCTGGATATTAGCAGTTTAGTCTGTGCTCGTGTCAGCATCAAGCAGGATTGAAGCAAAACTGGTACATTAGAATATAACTGTCACATGGGAAAATGGGCCAAGCAATTCAGGCTTGTGTTTTGACAGTCCTGAGTATGAACTTTCCTCTAGTTTTCTCCCAGTGTTGCTGAAATCCAATAGACTAGGAAGAACTGGATGCAAAACACTCCTGATTCCCAGAATGTGGCAGGAGTGCAAGTGAGAGCTGGAGGACTGCAAAGGATGGGCTGCTGGGAGTGGTTCCCTGTAGCTCCCAAACCTCACACGGCAGCTGGAAAATCCCACTAACTTCACCTGAGGTACCTTGTATGAGCAAAGTCATTGGAGAGAAATGCAATATTCAAATGCAAATACTCATTCCTGTTCTGTGGTGATGATGGTTCCATGTCAAAAGACATTGGCAGTAAAGATCCAGGACAAATGTCACCAAAAAAAAAGGAGCTTCACAGCAGACAGGTACTTATTTTTTGAATTAGCACATGTTCCTCTGCAGCAGAGACATAGTTTGGAAAAAATATGAGATTATTTCCTTCACAATAACTGATCTAGAGCTGCAGCATGAACCACTGCAATCTCAGATTGAGAGGCTATAAAATGCTGGGAGCAGGTGGATGTGCAGCTCCTCTGAAGAAGATGAGATCCATGAGGCTGCTTTTAAGCATCCAGTCTTTAAAAAGACGTTCTGTTTCTTGGGAGGTGGCTGTAGGGCACAGTAGATATATCTAACCTTCAAATATTTTGAGCTTCCAAAGCAGCCAAGGAATCCTTCCTGAGATGTTAAATTGGACTTCCTGCATACAACTGCAATATAGATGTTGGCAAGAAACATCTCAATGAAGTCTGAAAACAGAAGTCTCCATGAAACATCCTTCTCAGCAGAACTATGGCAACTCCCTCCCTCAAAATAAATGATGGGACTACAAATGGGACATAAAAAAATGACAGAGAAACCTGATCTATGTTCTTGTCTTTCAAATAAACTACACTGGGCCTCTGTCTGCAATGCTCCTCTTGAAGTTCAGGACTTGGGACACTACTGGAAGACCTTAGGAAGTAAAGATTGTTTTGCAAATGTCTTTTGGAAAGGTTTCATCCTGCTTTCTAAGGCTCCCTCCACCATTCAATGTGTCTGCATGGGTTTTTATGGGCAGAAGGCATCAAAGGCAGATCATGGAGATATTTTGGTTACATCAGTGCTGAAGAAGCAAGAAGGTATCTGTGCACTGCTGTCCCCTTCCATAAGATGCAGACGTGTGCTCCTCTCAGCAAATGTCACCTGTGGTCTTGGAGAAAGAAGGTGTCCTGGTTCCACTGCCCCATTGTTCTTTGCCACTGCCAGGCTTTAACCTCTGCATGTTCACCCATCCAGAATGGCAGAAATCTCCTGGGGGACTTAGGAGCCAAAGGGGACACTGGGGCCTGGACCTCTCATGCTGCCCAAGGGGGTCAGAAGAAGGTGGCAGCTCCTTCAACTTTTTCCATTTCCCCCCCTCCCAACTGTAGGTGAAAATGCCTCATCCTGGACCAGTGAATGAAGCAGCTGTCAGGCAATGATACTGGGAAGGCCCAAGAAGAAAAAACTGCCATGAAATCTCACTTATTACAGAAAATGTCCATTTACAAGCTGGTTTTAAAACAGGAGAATGGGATGCATGGAACAAAGGGGAAGAAATTGTTCCTTGATGAACAACAAGCCATGGATAGCTACGTTGACTGAAATATTTTTACATTTATGGACCCAAAAAAAAGTGCACAAAATTGGTTGTTAATACAAGAACAGTTAGAATTTTACTAATGTTTTGCTTCCCTATTAAATCAAATGTTATTGAGCACAGTCTGACTGGGGTGTTGTTTAAGTAACTTTCTCATCCTAATCTAATTATAGTGAGATACTACTGTCATTCAGGTTCACATTAAAGAAATTTTGCCTTAATAGAAGCATAAAATATCCACATATAAGTGTGCACTAGCATGAGCTGTGGGCTTGGCCTAGATGATCTCCAGAGGTCTTCCAAAATCAATGATGCTGTGATTCTGTGAAATGAAAACCTCCCAGGAGCCCTTTGCTTGACTGAGTAGAACACCTAATGATGCATTTATTTTTAATTTATGTTTTAGACCCACTGAAACTGTTCACCTAGTGAGCTCAGAACCAGGTTCTTTCTCTGAAAATATGGAACTCAAAATGTATACAAATGGGTGTGGGATTTGCAGGGTTTGCAACAACTCTGTTGTTGCTGATATTAGGAAGAAGTGATCACAGAATCACAAAATTATTAAGGCTAGAAAAGACCTCTGAGATCATCAAGTCCAACCTATGACCAACACCACCACATCTCCAGACCATGGCACTAAGTGCCACCTCCAGCCTTTCCTTGAACACCTCCAGGGATGGTGACTCCACCACTTCCCTGGGCAGCCCATTCCAATGGCTGATCACTCTCTCTGTGAGAAGTGCTTCCTAATCTGATCTGTCATCTTTGCAGAGAGTTAAATTTTCTGAATGTACAAGGGACACATTATACAGAGAAAGAGACATCAACCATTGACTAGAAGTCCATAATGTGGATGGCTCCCATAATGGTAGACAG